TGAACTACAGTTTATGTCCATTAGAGCTTCTTTTATTGTCTCTGCTTCTATATCTATGCTGCAGCAGTGGGATGTTTGTCTCCTTTTTCTGGTTCTGAGCTATACAAGTTTAGACTGCAGTCATTATGACTTCAGGTTGAGTACGATTTGACTCATATATCTGGTGACTTATGACTTAATTAGGTTATTTTAAAAAGACCTAAAACCTGCTACAGGCACATGACATGTAGTGTCAGTATTATGTAACATAATACAGAAAATATTGCAATATTTTATTTTAGGGTAAACAGTTTTATGCTATAATTATTCATTTTAGTTTGTGTTGCTTCACTCAGTCATTCAACAATGCTAAGCAGCTGGGATGATGGTACCTTACTCATTATGCTATCGGTCATGTAAAAAGAGTCAGACAACAGCCGTTGTCTGATTTGCTTTATATTTCGTTGCCAGGTTGTAGGCAATTAAACATATCCCGAATTTATGAAGTACTGCTGTTAGTCAGTGTTTGTATAGGGACACAGCTTAGCTGTGTAGCCAAAGACTTCCCACTAAATTTAGTTAGTTTGTAAGAACACATCCATAGTTAGACGTAAATGTCAGTGTGTCAACTTTAATTGCAAGTATTTTTTTTTTTAAAGGCAAAGACAAAATACATGTAGTCTAACCAACTTATTTTATTGTATGACATTTCAACAGATTTCATCCCACAGGTTAAACTGAAGACATGAACATATTCCTATATGTAATGTCAGTTTGTGTCACATCATTATCTTCAGCTAGGCTAGTCTGCTTAATTCAACAGAGGAGTCGCCTCAGTGTGAAAAAACTCATATTGTAATAAGACTATATTGAAATAAAAACACATTTGTCAAATAATTTACCATGTCAGATATGCCATGACAGTTTCAGCAGAGGTCTTTCATGGGCCAGTCGTTATCACAAACAAAAATAGATCAGGCATGGACCCTCTGGAATACATCCAGGTGTTTCAAATCAAACAAGATTGCAGATGTGGTCAAATTAGTCTCCCTTCTTACTGAAAATAATATTAATATTATTAATATTTATATATAATAAGGGCGATCGTGGCTCAAGAGTTGGGAGTTCGCCTTGTAATCGGTTGCCGGTTCAAGCCCTGGCTCGGACAGTCTCGGTCGTTGTGTCCTTGGCCAAGACACTTCACCTACCGCCTACTGGTGTTGGCCAGAGGGGCCGATGGTGCGATATGGCAGCCTCGCTTCTGTCAGTCTGCCCCAGGGCAGCTGTGGCTACAACTGTAGCTTGCCTCCACCAGTGTGTGAATGTGTGTGTGAATGGGTGGATGACTGGGTGTGTAAAGCGCTTTGGGGTCCCTAGGGGGGACTAGTAAAAGCGCTATACAAATACAGGCCATTTACCATAATCAATCATCTACACAGAGGTAGTTTTTTTTTTTTTTTTGTGGACATTTGTGCATTAGACTATTTAAGCTACTCCAATGGGCCACATATAAAACCTCCCCAGTGTTGCAGAATCAGTGACTTTATTCAACTCCAGTATAGAGACAGACTAGTTTCCCCTCAAGAGAGTCGCCAACCCTGCTTGGTGAATTTGTCGTCCTCCCTGCTTGGCATAGCAATAGCTCTCTGGGTTGACAGTTGCATTCAAAGGTAGTAAAGTGAGCATAGCGGTGACCAGACTTAGACACGTAATTGACTGTAGGCTTGTCCAGCCTTATTTCTCTGGAAGAAGAAATGTTAGGTCTTATTACTTCATTTTAGTAAGGTATTTTTAACTAAGCAGCTATAAAAAAAATACTGTCAAAAGATTCACTGCCAATCGTTTAATTAACAAATGAATTCAACTGACCAATGGCCGGTCTGACCAGTCTTTCTGGGTAAAATAATGAAGTTGGCATTTACTTGGCATCTGTTCAAAAAACACATATTTGTCCAGGATTCTCAAGTAGTTTAACACGACCATGTTAAGATCTCAGTGCACATTGGCACATTCATACATAGGGATGCTCTCCCAGTTTCCCAGCTTTTGCTGTAGTAGAGTCTATTTGTTTTCTGTTGATAAAGCTTAACTTTTTCTAAGTTTTCTTCCTTGATTGAGCCACAGGGACTGTCATTGCATGGAATAATTTTCTCCAAAACAAAGAAGAAATCTGAAATCTAGTGATTTATTAATCCAACAGCCTTCACATATAAACCTTTGCTTGAATTCTACACTAATACGTGGCTTTCAATAAATGAAAAGCCAAATACTTAAGTCAATATTGTGATAACTGTGTCCTCTGTGTACAAGTTCGTTGTTATGATTCTCAATCAAGTTTTAAATTGTACACACATGAACAAGCATTCAGTCCCACCCTGTTAACTCCCACAATCAGCCGTAAGTAGGTAATGAAATGCCCTGCATGAATATTGATATTCATGTGGATGTTCTTGTCCTTCCAGTCTTTTTGTGGAAGTAAAAAAAGAAAAAAGTGTGTGATTAAAGGGAAATTTAATTGTGAGTCAAGGTTGGAGGTATTATTTACTGGCCTTCATTCAGCTGGAGTGGTGATGTGTCACAGCAGCAGTTAATGTTTAGAGAGCCACTGCCTTTAGAAAGAATAAAACAGAAAAGGTTGACAACATTGTGTCAATGGCAGTGGCGGGAATGATTGGACACCAGAACACTTTCCCCTTGACAGACCTTGATAAAAGGGAAACTCTAATTAAATGCAATGTGACAGAAGAACACAGTGACATCAGGCAGGCACAGAGGATATGGACAGTTGAGATAAGCCTCCAGTTGACTGACTGTTGCATTCTGTTTCCTTCCACTACCCACTTTAGTCTCGACAATTTCTGCAACAGCAGCTGTGTTGTTCTTTCAATTATGAGCAACGCCAGAAAGCAGTCAACCCAGGTGACAAGCCACATGTTAGTGGTGAACTGTGACAAAAGCTTGAATTGTGCAATTAGCCATAATAACACCCTCACCTCGTCCAGCCCCCATCTAAGCACTAAACTATACTTAGTAGAATTTACACTTGTACTTGAGAATTCTTATTAGTGTCAGCCTTGAAACTTTTTTTCATACCTGGCATGGTGATTTAAATATATGTACAAAAAACTGAATGACTTGTACATGTTCCTTTGTGTAAACAGGTTCCTGAGATATACAGAATTTTAATGGTCTTTAATTATGTGCTTCTAGTTACCATTTAAGTTACATTTTGAGTGAATAGGGTGCTAGCTGCCTTATTCAAATGGTGTACCTCAACAATATTAAGGCTCTATGGCTTAAGGACAGATTTTTAAAAGTGTTTTAAGTTCTGGCTTGTGTTATGTGCTATCTGAAAGTTTTTTTTAAATGATAATAGCAGTGGTGTGCAGTTATTGTTTTACATTAGTTGTAGAATAATGAATTATGGACTATATATTTTTTATTTAAAAAAACATACTTGTAAATTATCCAAGAATAATCATATATGCAATTGTTCTCCTTCCCATTTTTTCACCATACCTAATATAAATATACAAATACAACCATTTTTCATCCTGTTTTCTTAGCATATCTTATCACAATTGTATCTGTGTTACAGTATAATCACCTTTGTTGATGAGCTAAGCATATTTTTGGATATAAATCACATGTAGAATATTTTTGCACTGTATTTCTACATTGCAAAGTGTTTGGAGTTGGAAATCTTTTCTAGAATATAAACTGCCATTTCAGCTTGAACACCGATGGAAGACAGCGGAGATAAAAGTTAGTTTTCCACTAAAAAATATCTAAATTCATATTAGTTTCATGGCTGAAGCTAATGACAACTGCCAGATATGGGTATATGTTTTGCTAAATACAATATTGTGCTTGGGGCCCTGATGATATGAGACTGTTATTGTAGATAATTGCACATTTCTAGCTTTTGACACAGTTCACTACCACTAACATGTGGCTTGTCACCTGGTTTTATTGCTTTCCGTGTTATTTGCTATTGAAAGAGAAGCAGCTGCTGTTACAATAATTGTAGAACATTGGTTAGTGGAAGGAAACCACTTGAGGAAAATTGTAAATAAGTTTGATTTAGTACCCTAATAAAGACAAGTCAAACATTATTATTCAGCGCCTGCAACCACATTGTAGTTTTAATGAGCTTAATAAAATGAGCTATGGTTTAAATACGCTTTTTTTTCTTTTCTTTTTTGTTTTAGTAATCCAATATACACTCATCAAAAACTTTATTAGGTCCACCTGTTCAATTGCTTGTTTATGCAAATATCTAATCAGCCAATGGCAGCAACTAACTACTTTTAGGCATGTACACATGGTCAAAATGACCTACTGAAGTTCAAACCACGCATCAGGAAGAAAAGTGTTTTAAATTACTTTGAATGTGACATCTTTGTTGGTGCCAGTCTGAGCGCTTCAGAACTTGCTCAACTGCTTGTATTAGTCGTCATGATGGTAGGATCTGAATTTGAAGTAAATAACAGGAAAACATGGACCAATCATCGTATGAATGGTTCAAGCTTATGGTGGTGGTATGATGATTTATGGGATATTTATGGGTAGTAGTGTTTTTTATACACATTACCAAAGCTGGTGTTTTGCATAAAACATATCCTTTTCCTCAAAAAGTCAGCTGTGAGATGTATTATTTGTTCCACTAATGTGAGTGCATTTGGGTCATAAAACTGCGCGTTTGGCACAGGTATACTTTTTTTTTTTAAACTTAATTGTAGCAACTCTGAGTGGATAAATGACATTTGTTTTGTTATTCTATACACTTTCATGTCCCAGTGACCATTTAAAGTGCACTTATTGCACTTTGCACATTTATTTAGTTGAGAGCCCAGTCTTGTTAGACAAAAAATATCTGCCTGGCATGTTACCAAAATGACTTCTGAGTGGCGAGACTTCCCTCTGAAGACTTTGCTGTCTCTCTTCTTAGTCTTTCCACCAATTCATTTTCTCTTCTCACTATGGTTTTATTCCCATTATTCTTTCCTCTTCTTTGTTAGAGGCAGTTGCTGAGTTGTATTCGTGGCGGAAACTGCCCTGGACCCAACGTCAGCTCACTGCAGTTGCCTGGAGATGTGGGCTTCTTTGCAAACCAATTGGCTGTGCCTACCATGGAGTTTGCCTTTGAACAGACTAGAGCAGAAGAGGTATGTCTAAACCAAAAGACCCAATTATTTTATTTCCATTTTTCTTGTGACGCTCATTGCTTTGATTTTATGCCCTTTTGTCCCTTGAGATCAGAGGAACTACCATAATACAAGGCACGGTCACACCTTGTCTTTTAGTTTCTGATAGTAAAAATTCCCTCATTAGAAGCAAAACTTGTCTTTGAGAAGGTACATTTACCTTTAACATACGACAGACACAAACTACTTAAAGTGCATGCTTTAATGTTTTAGCATGTGAAACAAAGTCTGTAGGAATATATACCAGTATATATACCTACAGACTGTAGTAATTACTTCATCCTAGCCTTAGTTTCACATAAATAATCTAATATATGCAATATGCACTGAGACAATAATGGAAATTATTAAACCAAAAGGAGAAGAGTATTGTTTCAGTCTGTGTGAATTTTCTTTTAAAGAAAATCTAGTAAGGATCCCATCTGTCAAACTCGGTTAAATTGGAGTGGCAGTCAGAGGGAGATCTACCTCAGGGCAGTTCATATATACAAAGAAAAAAAAGTGGACTGGATCTAAAATTAATGACTTTATTACATTACATGATTTACATTTTAAGACATTTTTCCAGCTATGTCACATGACCATAGGTGGTACACTGTGATAACAACCATATGCAGCCCATATAGTGTCACTGCCAGTATGAAGAACGTTTTCAAACTTAACCTCCTAAGACCCGAACTCTTCCACAGTATGCATTTTTAATTTCTCTTTGATATTTGGGCATATTGGGGCCTGATGAATGTAAAAACAAAGAATTACCATATTTTTCTTTTACCTTATTTTTGTTTTTAAGAAAAATAAGAGCCACATATAAGGATATTCGTTTAAAATTTTGATAGAACAGTAGCAGTATAATGCCCTCGTGAGTGGATATCAGGCCCTTGTAGAGCAAAATTTAGTATTTTAAATAACCTAAAATGTGATGTCCACATATGTGGACGCCAGGTCCTAGGAGGTTAAGCAGAGTGCAGTATAGCTTGTCTCTTTTGTAAGGAACAAATGCACATCATAGTGCTCACAAATTATGCATGCCCCCATTTATTTCCATTAAAAATGCAGTATTGATGTTTGTTGCACAGCCTTGAGGTGGAAACACAGTGATTTAGCCTCAGCTTATCGGCCCACTCAAATTTGGAACTTCTGGCTAGGACGGTAACTTTGAGCTTAATTAGTGCGAGAGATCTTCATGATGTTTATCTGCCCTCAAGGTGCCTTTACAACCTGAAAATAATAGGTGGTGTTTAAGAAAGACAAAACCTAAATTAAATTAAAAACTATCTGTAAACAAACCTGACTCTGTTAGGGAACACCCTATATCTATATATTAGTAACGGCTTAATATCATTTGGATTGAACTCCAGCATTTAAAATCGGATGGCAATAAAATTTCCTCTACTGCTTTATATCTTAACCGGGTCTCTGGGGAAGCTGAGACAGACAGAAGAACCTACACAACTTCCATTTCTAGTTAATTTCTCCACTTGTAGAAATGCTCAACATGTTTTAGAAACTGAATTTTCTCAAGACAGTTCCGAATTACTTTCAGATTGACTGTTCAGTCTATTCAGCAGCTAAGCTGCAAGTTTAATGGCATAGCAGACCATGGTTGATAGAGTCATTGAGGATGATATAGCTTTTGGGTAAATAAGAGACTAATTATTAGTCAACTATTCCCTAACTACAAATTTAAAAAAAACAACAACTGTATGTTATTCTTAGATTCAATTATGTGTTTATCCCAGGTATATGTTCAAAAAGAAGAGAAACTGCTGCTAACATTAGCACTAAATATGATTAAAGTATTCTGTCCAATCAGAGTTAATATTTAGCTACTGTGTTGCTTTCCTGGGCTGCTTTGCAAGTAAATAAGATTCATTAGTGTTAATGGTGTTAGTGTTTTATTGATTGTTTAAATCTGGCTTTCGTATAAACCAATGTCTGTGTTGCCTGTGTTTTGTGTCATGTGTAGGCTGTGTGCAGGCAGGATAGGAGGAATGATGGACCCAAAATTGTAGACTCAAAACAAAGATTTATTACTAAATGACAAAAACAGGAAACTGGCTAAACTGGAAATACATAAACTAAACTGGCAGGCAGATGGACGGAACACACATCCTGGGATGGGATGTATTAAAGTATTCATATAAGGACATGGACATGGATTATATAAGAAAATGCAAAACTAATGTACATTTAATGGCATGCAATCATTTATACAGATCTTTTAAAAAATATATAGTTGCTGTGGGGGGCTTTCCCTAACTTAAACATAATGCTTCCACCCTGCAGCACCCATTTGAAACATGTTCCCACACTCGTTTTACCATATTCACTTTTTTTGCCGATGTCGGCATATTGAACAGTGACACGATTACAGAAAGTGGGAAACAGTACAACTTCTGCAAGCATCAAATGCTTAATGCACCTACATGTATTTTCAAGACATGCTGATTAAATATGCGGAATTTATATTTCCTTCGATTGGCCAATTTCCGCTTTCACAGCGTGACCACATCTTTAATAGTGTTCTCCCACGAGTAATTTTAAATAAATTCCTGTTCGTATGGAACAGTTTAGTTTCCACACCCTCACACTCAAATGAATGGATATGTATTTTCTGAGAAGTAGTGCAAGCTGGAATAACAAGAGTTATATAATATTTGCTACAGAGATCTCATATAAAAAGCGATTTTCCTGCCACAGTAAAGTTTTGCAGACTCTAACCGCCTATATTTCTCTGTAACCTTACTGTCGTCGCATATTTCCAACTCCCAAGCAGTTAAAACACCTGTGGAGTGTACCCTAAATAAAAGCGCAAACAGGAGTCATTTAGATCTACTTCTAAGAACAAAAATGTATCCAAAATGTGTCACTCTGAGATAATAATACAAAATTAGGTTTGTTGTTTACATTATAAATAACATGTCTAACTGTGAAGGTAAAGGTCAAATATTCAGTAGGACAAAAGTACAGTTCAGTACAAGAAAGTACAAAAGTAATACAGTTTATTATTTATATTCCCTTGCATCTTCATTTTGCTGCTCAAAGGGCTTTTGATATCTGCAGGCATCCTTCATCAATTCAGTTCTACCTATATAACAGCAGTTGCCGTGCGCTTTACATCGTAAGATAAAGACGTCACTGTGTTATATAGAGAAACTCTGAGAAAGAAGAAAAAAACTTTTAACTGGAAAAAAATCAGAAACGGCCTCAGGGAGGGCGGCTAAATACTGCAACTGTTTGGAGTGAGGGGAAGCAAAGAGAAGAAACAAGAGCATAAAGATACGACAGTCAACATCAACAAAAATAGCAAGCTCTCGGCAGTAACAGGAGAACATCAGAAACCAGCTGTTATTACCGAGAGTTTGTAGGAAAAAGACCTGCAAAAATGTATAGGGAGAGAAGACAATATGGAGAGTAAAAGAGGGGACACCATTAGACCTGGAAACAGAAGTTCACTATGTATCAGCACTTGGGAACAGTGAGTTAAAAGCTGCTTTGTCAGTTTGGATTTTTCTCCTCAACAACAGTTTTGACAATCGAGGCCCAAAATGCCACAAAAAAAAAACCCTTAGTGCACAGGAAATGTTTATCTCAAATTACCCTCGGTTATTTTTAACAATTGTAAATGTCATCTTTTTATATTCTGTCAAACACTGCGTTAGTCATATCTCTTATTTTTCTCCCACACACAGAACACAGATTGTGTTCTGCTCTTAGGCTTTCCCACCATTACATATTATCAGTGTTGTCATGGTGAATGGCCCTGATTTTGAAGAGGTGGGAGTGAAGCTGTGATACGACCTGACTTTCACATTCTCTTCAGTCAGTTGTATTTAGAGCTAGCATTTCAACAAAGGTGGAGAGTTGCACTAAGCATAAAAAACAAGCAGCTACAAATATTGACTGAGTACAGGGGGTTTAGTACATTTGGTATTAAAAGGTCAACAAAATATTTTTCAGGGATGCCCTGAATATAGCTCGAGTGAAAATGAGCAATTGTGTGTTTTCCATTTGTTTGGCCTAAAAATGTAAACATGTAACACAGTCCATACATTCAACCACAAACTTTTAGGCTGTGTTTGGGGACAAAAGTTAGGTTTTGTTTTGCTGTTTGGCTTCACTAGAGCTAATAAAGTATAGGGTTCACCGAATGATTCAATGGCCAATTTTCAATAGTGAAAAGGACCTAATTGTCATCGAAATGACAAATTTGATCTCAGCACTGGTTTTATGTCTGTTGGTACTGTACCATACCATGCCATAATCTCATCGTACCCTTCTGATAACTGCAACAGTCCCCGTGCAAGGTTTAGGAAAACATGTGATTGAGCATCAAGCCCATCTGCCATCCTTCCATATTCAGTGGAAAACCAGTTACATGCAAGTTCCTCATTGTTCATTCTGGCATCACCTCACCGCTAATGGCGGTGGACAGGTCTTGGCACAGGCATGCTTTTTCTGGAAGGAACACAACCTTATTCTTGCCCTAGCTGAGCTTTTAGCTGGTGCATTGACAAACCATCTGAGACTTTTGTCATGCAGTCAGTGATGCATGTCTCGACCCACATCAAGAGGGAAAGGGCAAGAATAGCGCATTGTCATGAACATGAAAGTAGCTGGAAGGTAAAATTCATTTCATATGCAATATAAAATGCTATATATGCAAGCTGCTTTTGTGCTGAAGTTTGTTATTTTCTAACCCTCTTGGATGTTATTTATTTTTATTTTGGTGTTTTCACTCTACGATAATGTTTACTGAGCTTTGATGACTAGAATTAATATTCAGTCTCATCACTGGCAATACAGTTACAATTATGTATGATATGAATCAATGACATACCACAGGTAGGAGAAAAAAAAGACATATGTACGCATAAAAACTGAAATACTTCATGTTTCTTCTTTTTGAAAGATTATTAAGGCAAACATTGTTATTAATTTATGATAAGTACATTAAA